CAGCAGCCATGTACCTGTTTCACCAGCAGGTCACATCCGGTGCTTCGTCAGCTCTGGGCTTCTGTCATGAGGGCACTCCAAATGGTAAGACAGTGATGCTTAGGTTTAGTGTGTTAGTTTTGCGAACGCCTACATGTGTGGCTCCAGTAGGTCATTTCGTTATAGTTGTACAATTAAAAATATGTTAAAAATCAGAAGGAAGGGAAGGTTTTACTGAGGAAGAAATTATGATGAAGTAATAAATAGTAAACAGTGACTTGTGATTGCACAAAGCAAAATGCGCAGGTAGGTTCAATGCTGAAGATGCTTTTGCTGTGTAATTCGGGAGTTGGGGAGGGCGGGGGGCTGCAGGCCTCTCGAGCATTATTCCTTCCTTGCTTCCCTGTTTGTAGATCCTTCCCTTTTCTAGGTGATTCATACACAGGAACAGGCATCTCCCAGCAAAACTTTAGAAACCTTTATAGGTCAGGGTGTGGACATTGTGAAATGTTTTACCAGCTCTTCTACCTATTCTTTCTGCTTCAGTAGTAGCATGCAAACTGTTTTTAGCAGCGTTCTTCTCTTTCTGACGTGACTTCGTTAATTTTGCATCTGCATTAACAAGATAGGCAGAAAGCAAAATTTTTGCGTTCTATAGGAATGTTGTTCATAAATAAGGAAGAAACCTACCAATGTGTGGCCACATCACCAAAAGAATGTGTGATTAATAGCCCAAACCATTACTGCATTACCTCACTGCAAACCTCTTCCAGAGGATCAACATTCACTTACCAAAGCTGTGTATTGTAATATACCTTAATAAGTTTTAACATTTCTACAAGTGAAATGAGCTATGACTCACTCTCGTTCTGGAGTGCGTTCAAGTCTGTTATAAATCACGTTGGAGGATTATTTAGTGCAGGACTTCCTTAAATGGCAGGTGAAACTGCGAGAAGTGATGTGTGAATGCTGATGGTTTCAGCCTCCTTTTATAGACTCTGTGAGTTCCTGTGTCTTGTTAGTTTGCAAAAGTATTGTTACATCATTCGCTCAGACTACTAATACTTTTTTACTATCCTGTTCCATTTATGGGAAATAGAATATCTTAATTTTGAGTGTGTTACTTTTTGTGATACTTCAAATTTTTAAAAGTAGTTGCTTTGGGCCTGGGTCCGTTGCTTGCTTGATGTTGAAAACAGCACTTCTGTGTGTACTCAATACTGAATAAATACCAGTAGCAGAGCTCAATCAGTTTTAATACAATGAACTAGGCCATTCTATGATTCTGTGATTAGGAATTAATAAAATGATTTTCCAGGCAATACAGTGTTACACTCCTGAGGATTTCCTTTCCTTCAAGACACTGATCTGAGACTAAGAGAAAGAAGCACATATGCCATCTCTTTTTCAAAGTTTCCCAAATACTACAAAATCACCAAAGACACCCCTGCACAGTGTTCTGTGCAGGACTAATTTTAGTAGGGCTCTTCACCCGTATACGTGGAAGAATATCATCAAAGTGCGTGCAGGGTCTTGACCGGCAGGACACACTTGAAAAGAATCGATCGAATTATTCCTTGGGTGCTCTCAGATACAGCAAGGATTGCTGTAACTAGAGCACGGCTCTTCGCGGAAGTGGATTATCTAATAGCTGGGGTAAGTAGAAGCTGTGGAGTGACGAATTCTAATTTAGTCGCGATCAGTGACTTTCTCTGCAGCCTTGAGCAAGTTCTGTCATCTCTTTTTCCAATTTCTCAAGCAATAAAATGGGTATGATGATACTACCCCTATTCTTTATCTCCCTAACTTCATCTCTCAGCATGTTGTGAGAATATAACATTAACAGCGCATGCAAGTGGTAAATATTATTATCATTATTTATTACTTAGAGACCTACCCGAAATACGTTTAGAAATGCATAGCTTACCTACCAGAACACAAATGCAGAAATAAGGAAAAACCACTAGGTATAGGGCGACAGGGTGACATGGCTGGTGACACTGCGTCATAAGCTACTCAACAAACAGGAATTCTGCTATCGTACGTAATATTCTCAAGCCGTAAAGAATTCTCCGGAAAGAAGTGATTTTTGCCATAGAATCCTTGCTTTCATTTAGAAAGCAGAATGCAGTGTAACTAATATTTGTATGTTTAAGGACTGTTTGGTTTATTTCACCTGTTAAAAGACAGCAGCTCGAGCGGATGTGTTGGAGCCAGGGCTGTGGTGGCGGCCACCGTGAGCCGTGGGTCAGTGGTGTGAGCTGTGCTGCTCTCGCGGTGACAGAGCACTGGGACGGGCTTGCAAGAGAAGGTTCAAGTGGCCAGCGCAGCGGATCGAAACGGGCGCTCTGCCGTGGCTTAGCCGGCACTGTATCCACCGTAGCAGGGCGACACGCAGCAGTGCGGGGACCGCGTCTCTCACCTTGGTGTGAGCGGAGGCTACGACATGAGTAAAGCCAGTGCATTGCTCAGGAATGTGAAACAGGGACAGACGTGTTCTGTAAAGCACTTCAGTTGTTTTTCCTTTGCTTATAGTTTAGCACAGTCAAAATCTAGCACCGAGCATGGATACTTTGCTTTAGAAATAAGGGGCTACTTAGAAGTTTTTGTAATTATTTGTATCACAGCAGTGTGGGTATGCTCTGCAGATTTGATAAACGAATATAACTTTAAATAACGCAGAAAGTTGTTCAGGAAAACCTTGACACGTTTTGTCCAGATGCTACAAGCACCGGGTCTGGCTTGTTGGATCTGGAAAGCCACAAGGAAGGACATTGCTCATTAGCCAAGAGTTACTGATCCTGTGTTACAAGTTTTACCCAATTTAAAGAAACCATTAGGTAATCCATTCAATGCTTTTGGGATCTCTTTGTGCAACAAGGGTGGAGAGTTGGGGGGCGAAGGGGAATCGTGAACTGGTCCCAACATGCCAGTAAGAAAACATTGTATCATGGGATGGGCTTTGTTTATTTTCAATCTGCATTTTCTTTGAAATTTTCGCTTTATTTGGTGAGCCTTGTTTCAAAGCAAAACAGGTAACAGGAGCCCTGTATGAAAGTCCCTTATGAGTAGGGATGAAAGAGTGGAATGACAATTTCCCTCATGAATATGGGGCTGTTTTATATGCAGACGTGGCCTTTGGAATGCAAATCCCTATAGACGCTCATGCTCCATTTCGTTTCTCTTCGTTCTGCTTTACAGTCTTCCTTGTCTAAACAGTCCTAGTAACATTTCTCTTCTTCTTGCTCAGTTTTTACCCTCACTTAGCACTGGAGAATTTCCTGGTGCTGTTAGGGTCCCCTGCTGAGTTGGTGATTGGGCTGATGTGAGAAAGGGAAAGAAGCTGGGATTTGGCCTCTCCCTCTACGTCGGAATGCGTTGCACGCACCAGTCTATCCTGACTACAGAACCCAGCAACAAAACCAATGCACATTAATATGAAAGCAAATAACTGAAGTGGTTTTTTGAATTAAATGGGTCACTGAGAAAGAATGAGAGTATCTGGAATAGCACTTATAATCTTTGAAGGAAAGTGTGTAAAGACAGTTAAAGAAAATTTCTCTAAAGCTGAAGAAAAAAGAAATGTTTCTAGGGCAACTATTTTAGTAAAGTGTACTTTACAACAGTCCTATTAATAATGCCATTTTAAATGGTGACACTGAAGAGCTGTATGTAGAGAAGTCTGTTCTGCTTATGCAAATGTAACCTGTAACTTGTATCACCTCTTTTCTTCTTTTCTGCATCCTCCAAGTTTTGTACCTCCTGAAACAGTGAGCCTTTTGCAGTCTCGACACGTCAGTAATGCTGCCGCTTTGGCGTGGCGCATATGTAAGAAAAAGCAAAATCAGAAATTCCAAAGACCAGCACAAATAGTGGAAAAGAATTTATTTGCTGCAGTGAGGTATATGATGAGAGACAGAAAACCGGGAGAAAAGTGGATAGGTTATTCACTTTAAGTTATAGGTAATTTGCAGAGCAATAAATGAATCACAGATGGAGATTCATGCCCCAGTGAGATGTGAATAATACATAAATTACCAGCTCAGCCAGTAATTTTCATTGAATAAGTTTTCTTTGGCATTTTGATGACTAAAAGCTCTTAAATTAACATTATCAGCTCTACCTAGCTCTGTATGGTGCTTTTCATTACTAGGCTGCACATTATTTTAGGAGATAGTTCACTGTAGTATCCCCGTTTTACACCCAGGGAGACCCACAGAAGGGCTGTCAGCTCAACCTGCTCGGAACGCCAGCGCTTGGCACAACTTTTTATTTCATGCTTGCTGGTGGATCTCGTTGATGGTGGAGGATACCACCTGCCCATCCACGCTGTCATGGACAATTGCTTTGATCTTCCGACTGGCCAGCCCAGCATGTTCTGAAAGAAGAAGAAAGGTTAATTAGACAAGCAATGCCAAGACAAGTCAGTGCAGGGAAAGCTTCATTTGCAGTAATTTACTGGCTACCTCCTCAGCCGATTTATCTTTACATGTTTCCCTTTAAGTCAATACTTATTATTGCTCTTTATGAGACGCGTTGCCAGAAAGTCACTCTGAGTCTTGTCCAGGTCAGGGCAAATGAATAGCACAGCTGCATCCCAGCCAATGCAAATCTAACTTCAGAGCAGATTATCCTCAACGTCGGTAGGTCATGCTCACTCCAGAATATGAGTTTCCAGACATGCAGATTTTCTGTTTGCTCTCAAGCCTTAACACTGTTCTAGTCACCAAGTGGAGTCCCTGTGCCTCCTCATATACCATGAAAGCTTTGGTCTTGAGTCTGAGCTCTGAGCCCCGGGTTTGACTGACAGAGGTCAGGGTGAAGACAGTCCACGAGTGGGCAGGCACAGCCGAATGTGCTCTCAAGTGTAGCCCTTCACAAGAATGATGAATCGCTGGAATTATTCTCAAATAGGGCTTACACGAGAATTAACTGCTCTGCAAACCTTTCAGAGTTCATTCGTGTAAGGTGAAAATTATTCTGAGTAAAATTTGATTGGAAATTACAGTAATGAAGAATCACTATAGAGAACAAAGTAAGGGGCCTTTACCTTTATCTTTTGATTCAGATTTTCTTGCTATCCTGTAAAGATAATAAAACAGAGAAAAAGTAATGAATATACTAATGTCAAGAAGTTATTCATCCTTTTCTTCTCACTGATTTTACAGAGGCCTCATACCACTATGAAAAGAGGTTAAGAAAAAACCAACAAACATGCTTTTATACCACAAGAACTTTTCCTCTTTGGTAGACTTAGGTGCGGACACTGTCACCTGAACCTGTTCCTGTGTACGTTCATTATTACTTCTCCTGTGGACAGTTGCATTGTTTCTGACATGTTCTGAGTTGCTCAAGTTGGTCCCGTTTTGGCTTCTGACCAATAGCCCCACGCTCGGTGCCGTACTGTCCTGCCTCCCCGAGACTTTCATTTCTAAAGGCTGCTCATCTTCCTTTCCCTGATTTCGTAGAAATAAGCCGTACTCTGTATATAAGCTGAGGGAATAACTAGAAGCCCACGGGTTTCTGAAAGCAGATTTGAGACAAGGCAGAGATGGGGAAACCAAACAACCCATCAGCAGGGGGGCATGCTCTGCAGATTTGGTCTGCTGGTACCTGGAACTGCAGATGCCAGACCAAAAAAGTTCTAAACTTGTCTCCAGGCTCCTTTTTGATCTAGAACATTTTTTGAAGATTTGAGTATGAATTTTACTGAAATTGGCACTTTTTTCCTATGCTGAGATAGGCACGCTGTGGGAACGTAGAATATATATATATTTTAATTGAAAGTTGTATTAATTTAGGTAATCCAAATTACATGGATACAAGTTTCTCTTTATACTAAGTGACTCAAGCTTTTTATTATGATCCATCACATTAAAATGCCAACCCTTGATGTAGTACGGAACTCGCAAGCTTTGATTAAGCATAAACAAACAAACAAATAAATAACCCAAATATGAGAACTCTCTTCTCATCTATTCCAGTCCGGGCGGCTTTGTCTTACCCGTCAGCATTCCCTTCCAGCAGCAGGCGGTACGTGGAAATTTCCTTCTCCAGGCGGGTTTTGATCCCAAGAAGAACCTTGTATTGGTTATTTTGCTGCTTAATGTCATGGCGAACCTGGCTGAGCTCTTCCTCGCACTTGGAGATGATCTGCTGCATGTTTTGAAGCGCAACAGCGTAATAATTCCGAGTGTCAGCCAAGGTGTCTTCCAGCATGTGTTTCTGACAGAGCAGATAGAACCAATACCACGATTATTATGTGTGTGGTGATACAGTGCAGAAAGGCCAGCAAGAAGATTGCAAAATGCTGCTGTGGTAATTTAAACACTTACTCGTCTGCATGACTGTTCATGTGAAGACAGCAGAATAATGAAGCTGTGTCGCGTGTGCGTAATGAGAAGCAAAACCTGAGTAATGCATCCCTGCCATAATCTCTGTGCCAAAGCTGTGCTCCTGTAACTCTTCACCCTTGTCAGGTCTGCATTTACTGTCCAGAATTGCTCCAAAGTCTCCAAGTCACGAGTGTGTGAGCCTTAACTGTACAGGAGCTGAGTAATATTTCTGAAGGTTCCCCACCAATATTTTTCACAGTTCATGTATTTCATGCATTGTAATAAGAGCTGTAAACATGAAATTTTTATTACTATCTGTCTTCCTGGACTTCTTTCCTTTCTAGATCATTGTGTCAGCTATCCCATCCCTTCTTTTTCCTCTCCCCATATTGTATTCTAAGGAGAGACATACATTTTTCACTTCTTAGTGATGGCTGTTGAATCCATTTAGCATATTCTGGCAAAGTTAAACATGGTTCAAATTCCAGTTTCACTGATACTTTAAAAACTACAGTATAGTTCTACTAGACTATGGATTTGAATGAAGAATTGATCCACGACAGTTTCGGAGAATGTGTGGACCAGCAGTGACTGGCAGGAGATGCCTGCAGGAGCTACCTTACTCATCTGGGCCTGCAGCTCGATGTCCAGGGCCTGCAAGGTCCGGGTCAGATCCTTGATCTCGTTCTCACTGCGCTGCACCTGGTCTGGGTTCGGGGTTGTTGCTGGAGACGTAGCTGCACTCTGGGGGGCAAAAGCGAGAGGAAAGCGCTGAGTCTGCTCAGTCAGCGACAGCAACGGGGCTCTCGGAAACAAGCAGAAAAAACGTGTTACCTGTTCTTTGTACCAGCTGTCCAGGCTTTGACGATTCTTTTCAATTATGGCTTCATAATCTTCTCTTATTTCTGCTAGAATCTTGCCCAGGTCTTCAGGAGGTGCTGCATTTACTTTTACATTGACTTTGAAGTCTTGTGATGAGCGATTTGCTTCCATGTCCTATTCATACATTAGCAGAAGAAACAAGCAACCTTGTTTATGAAAGTGGAAAGTTTTCATTCCTCTCCTGTTTTCTTTAGTTCCATCTCTCAAAATGTCAAAAAAATCTTTTTTTCATTATGGTAGGATAATTGTTTTATATATTCAGTTAACGCTATATGGAAAATTTGTACATGGATAATACTGTGATGTGACTTAAGCCAGTGACTTCTCTCTGCTTCTGTGGCAGAACTGTGCGAGAGAACTCAGTAAAAAACACGTGAGATCATCTTTTCCTGTAACGTTTCTGGAACATAGATACTTCATGAAGAAGCACTGACTTTTTTAATTTATTCATCTATTAGCAACCAAAACCTTTGATGAAAATCTAACAGTAATTTCATCTTTCTTACCCTGTATGTTAATATTTATGGAACTCTAAGTTTACAGGAGAGTAATGTAAAGGTTCTATGTAATTGTTAAAGGAATAATTGGATTAAAGCATATAATTACTGTGTAAACAACATAATTACAGGACAAGTCAAGCGGGTATGGTAACATTCCTTTCGGTGTAGCACAACCTTCTGTGCTAGGTACCATCTTCAGAAGCGCCCAGGCAAAGTATATTTCTGGGTATGACATCACAGCCTCCAAAATGCGGCGCAGCTGGACCCGCTGAGGTCTCGGGCGGTTGCCCTGCTTCCCAGAAGTGTTTTGTGACAGCTCTTCAGCGGTACCCTCCGCTCTGAGGGATCAGCCAAAGACAGCTTCACCCACTGCTGGGGAACCCTCCTGGTTCTATTCTCCAGTTTAATGCTCCACAGGTACTGAGCACGATGCTTGATTCTGCATTAGGTAATAGCTGAAAACAACATCAGATCACGCAAAAAGAAACCAGCACGTTGTCAGGCAGGGGTAGTGTGTGGGGGGGAATAACAGAGGCCGCTCTGGTAGAGCTCTGGAGGAATTCAGAGCAGCGTGCTTCTCCTGAGGCAGTATCTAGTTATTGTACTGTGGATTTTGCAAGAATACGTTATTTGACTTGACTTCACCAACCATTCTTCTTCATTTTGATCCTTCAAGAGCTGAAGGTCTGTTTAGTTCAGGACAGCCTTTTCTCAGTGACCCTGCCTGAGCTGGAGGGGGTGGACAAGGTGACCTGGAGAGGTTCCTTCCAACCTCAACCACCCTGTGCTTCTGTGATTCTGTGAAATGGGGTATCTGGAGGTGAGCAAAAAGTCTGTAATGAGTGAAAGTCAACAACATGTAACATTTCCTATTTACTTGAAATCTCTGTGTATTTGTAACTACACATTTCTGAGAACATTTCTGTTGAATCTCTAAGTTATCAGGTGGGTGGGTGACTAGAAAAGAGTGGGAGAAAATACAGCGAGTTGTTCCCCCTTCTGAAATCCCGCTGTCACGGGGGAACTAGCACAGCAACTGCGCCTCATCTGACTCTCACTGGTTTCTTTAGAAACGGGCTTAGGTTCTGAATCATCAATCCCATTTATAGCTTGCGGGTCTCAGTCAGAGCTAATTACATGGTAGCAAAGATTTGTGTGATAGGATTTTACCAAGTGGAACTTTTTCTACCTCCTCGTGGTCTTTCCTCCTGAGGATGTGCTCTTCTCTCAGGCCTTCAATTTCCATTTCCAGATCTGTCGTAACAATGGTCAGGCCGTCGAGCTCCTTGCGCAGGTTCTCCACATCGAGCTGCACTCCCTGCCTGCGTGCCTTCTCTGCCTCATACCTTTAGGAGGAAAAAGAAGATAAAGCATCTTTCCTTTTTGTGACAGCGTTGAGTGATAAAGAAAAGCAAGGCTCAATAAAGCCTACAGTGTTCAGAGTCTTTAAGTTTGTTACAGTATTACCAAAAGCTGAGAGATTTTATTAATAGCTGATCATCATCTCTTGAAAATAGGGTAAATCTTCATGATTCCTAAGTCTAACTTACAGAAACATAAATTCCTTTCCTTTGCCAAGATCTGCCTGGAAGTTTTCTTTTCAAACATTTTGATTTTTTAGTTGGTTTGAGAACTATCTTTCGACAATGCAGTGAAAAATCAAACTGTATTCTGGTAGCTGAGGAAGCACTGGCAAAAAACTTAGGAGACTCCAAAGCAGAAGGTACTGAAGGACGGGTATTTCCTGTGGAGCTGGACAGAGGAGGCGATAAGTACAAGAAATAGATTTGGGCTGGACTGAGGAAGCAGAGGAGGGTTGGTGTGTATTCCCGGGTGACAGTTTTAAGTGCCTTTTGTCACAAGTATCAAGTGTCTGCTGCAAAACCTGCTCTCCGGGACCTGAACTAAGTATCGCAAACAGGGTGACTCAAGACTGTTCAGCAATCATTTGTGGTTTTTACATCCTTTTTATCCTTTCTGTTGTTTTGGTTTGATTTTTTTTCCTGTTCTACGTTGGTTTTATGTATCCAGTATCACCAGAAAACCTGAGTAAAAGCAGTTTCATACTGGATTATCAAGAAAAAGCAGTATTTTGCTTAATCCTCTTTCAAACTTAATCAGGAAACCAAAGAAGAGCTTACTTGAGCCTGAAGTCTTCAGATGCCATGTTAGCGTTATCAATTTGTAAAAGGATACTGGCATTGGTGATCTTGCCATCCTCAATCTGGAAAAGAGAGAATCCAACTCAGTGTTGCCATATGCTGATGGTGGATAACCTGGGCTGGTTTAGGCTCCCTGCTGCTCGTAGGAAGCATCTCAACAGCAGAATTCCCATGTTAAAGAGAGGACACAAATACAAGCAGTTTAGTTTCCCAGTTTACTTGGATCTTTCTGCAATTTTTGTCCATAATCTTACTTTTCTCTTTGCCTTACTTTTCTGGATCGGAAGCGGGAGAAGTCATCTTACTCCTGGTCAGGTAGAAGATATGAATAATATTACACAAACTTCATGGCATATTACAGGTGGTGTGAACTGATTCTGATTCTGCTTAGGACTGCTGGAAGAGCAGCCTTGGTTATCTTTAGGGCCAGTTTCAGAAAGAACCATTAAGCTGTGTCTGAGTACAATCAAAATGGTGGATTTAATCATATGCTGAAAAGTAAGCGTGTGCATAAACCCTTTGCTGAGTCAGCACTGTGATGCAGGGGCATAACAAAGACGGTAGCAACAACTTCTGAGCAGGGCCCCTCAAGTCCACCCTGAGCTTCGGTCTGGAATCACCTGGATTGTTGTTCTGAAAATAACTCTGGCGTGTAGTTGTCCCAGTCCATTCAGTTATTCACCTGTAACTGTACTGAATCGTCCAGCAGCACAGAATGATTAATTCGTGTTTATGATTTTGCCTTGGAACGTTGATAATATGCCCTAAAAGGAGCAGGAGGAAGTGCACCGCATCGTGCACTCAGTGACCTCGGCACGCACAGAAAAGACCTGTAAGTCCCTGTTAACATGAAATAGCTTTGAACTACAGATCTGAATATGGAAAGTTCAGTATTCCATTCAAAATCTCTGACAGAATTCTGGCAGGAACTCATACATAATTAACAGGAGCTAGTAATTGTGGGACATCATGTCTTTTTCTAAGGAAGAGGAAGAAGCGTGGTTGCAGTTCCAACAGCTGCCTTCACTCAACACTTAAGAGAGCAGAACAAGGTGCATGATGGCTGTGCAGAAATCATGAGCCATTTGTGGAGCTCTCAGCACCGTGAAGTAAAACTTCCCACACCTAAATGAATCACAAAGGAACAAGGAAGTGACAAAATTGTCCTGAAGTGTCAAAAGTTTACCTCTCCTAGTAAAAAAAGAAGGTGCCTGTGGAATGTTTTACCTAATCTGTTAGCGGACTGTGCGTTCTTGAGCAATGAGCAGCACACCTCGAATGCTGCCCTGGGACAGGATCAAAGGCAGCCCAAGAGGTGTAACTACACCCTAAAAGTGTCGCTGCCTGGCATGTGCTGTCAGAGAAGAGGCAATTCTTGAACCCATCCTTAAAGATGGTGAATTTTACTGTGGAAGTAGCAAGGCAGTGAGAAAGCAGCGAGAAAGCAGCATGTGAGTTCTTCAGCCGTGTGCCATTTCATAATGGTGCGACACAGCAACACGTTTGTCTACAGGCTTTGTGGCTCTCGGTGCAATCTGAACAACTGGCAGGGTCTTACCAGCTGCTGGCTGATACGGATTGCTCTGCCCGTTCGCAGTGCACTTCAAACATAGATGCTTATCTGTCTATAATTACAGAATTCTTCACTAAATGCAGCATGAATATGGGTGCATCACTACTATCAATCCGCAAGCTTACAGATAACTCAGAACTTGCACGTTATTCTATATGAAAATGCTCATACTGATTTTTTTTCTATATGGAAATGCTCAACTGATTTTTTTTCCAAGAAGGCTTCCTGTGCTGACTTCTTTCTCAGCATGTCTTGTGCCCTTTGTCGAACAGCGTTGATCCTGCCTCTTTAAATGCCCTCTAAATCAATTTGCTGATTTAGTGGTACAGGATGTTTGAATGAGACGTTTGGAGGAAGAACTGGTGCAGTTTTACTTTGTATCCAGGTTAGAACAGAGTCAGGTTGGAGCAAGGCAACTTGTTGCTCCATCTGACATGTTCATCCAGAATTCAGGGAAGAG